TCTTCATATCCGGTCACATGGGCGGCAAGCCACTCCCATCCAGTCACATGGGTGGCAAGCGACTCCCACAAAGGAGGCCACACCCACAGAGTAGGTTCGAACAATTTTTGAAACCCATGACTGGTCCACTCCTTTTTCTGAGAAGTGGATATCTAACAAGAGTGCATATTTTAAGATAAAAGATTATCGCTCCTTTACAGGCCACCAATGTCTGTCATAATGAAGAATCCTCATTTGCAAACCAAGGTTTGTGGGAACCAACAACTCTATACAACCAGAATTTTCATCAGAAAAGATCTATTTTATTCAAAACAGGCAACTATGCCATCCAAGATGTACAATATATATATGGAGTGAGGTCATGGGAATAGGTGATATCAAAAGGGAAGCAATGCAGTCAAAGGTTTAGAAAAGAACCTTGGATCACCGCCCCCAAAAGATGAAAAGGACGCCTAGATGTGTCTAAATCAGGGCGAAAAAGAGACAGAACACATTTTTAAAAACCAGCTGCCACACCACAATCAGCATTCCTATAAGCTTTTGCCCTTCACAAGCCCTACAGTGACTTTGCTAGGAAGACCAGTGTTATTTCCATTAAACTACCAATGTGATGGGAATCAAGCATCTTCAGACTCTCACTGCAGAAGCGAGATTTGGAGCTCAGACTAAACCTGTGCCAAGTTCCAGACAGGGCACTTCCTTCTCACCAATGCCTGGCCAGTTTGTGACCCCTCTGTTGGAATAAGACACGTTTGTTCAACAGAGGAGACTAAGCAACACTTCTGCAAAAGACGAAAGCAGAACATACCGTATTTTTTGGAATATAAGGCGCACCTTTCCCCCCCAAAAGAGAGGGTGAAAATCTGGCTGTGTCTTATACATTGGATACAGCATTTTTTGCCTCCTGAAACTCCGCCCCTTCACCAAAATGGCCGTGCATAGCCTTTAGGAGGCTTCTAGAGTGCTCCTGAGGGCTGGGGAGGAAAATAATTGAGTGAAAAAGAAGCCATTTTTTGCTCATTTTTACCTCCCCAGCCCCCAGGAGCACTCTACAAGCCTCCTAAAGGCTATGCATGCCCTTTTTTGACAAAAAACAGACTCTTTCTTGCGAAAAAAGAGCCGTTTTGGGGAGGCCTGCAGAGTGCAAAACCTTTTTTTTTAATTGCCTCTTCAAAATCTTGATGCGTCTTATACTCAGGTGCATCTTATACTCCGAAAAATACGGTAGATATCTCCAGGGAGCAAAATTTCATTTCCAAAGACAGGCTGTGGGCTGAAAGAACGGAGGGTTTACAACACAAAAAGCAAACAGAAACCAGCCATTTCCAACCTGGTTAGCTTCCAGAGTATCGGACAACAACAGCTTTCATTCTTAAACCGGTCTCACTCACTTCAGGTGATGAGAACTGCCTACCAACCCAACGGAAGGCCACCAAGCTAGGAAACTGATTGGAAAGGCAACAAAACAAAGGAAGGAAAATCAAAGGCCATTTCCTGGGACACCCCTTGCGTTCAGGTCACTCTGCATTCTTGTACTTCGTGAACAAGTTGTATAAAACCCGAAGGGTAGATTTGAGATCCAGGTTGACAACATCTGAGAGATAAACAAAAAAGAAAACATTGTTAGAGTTTGTAGCAATCCAGCCAGCACACAAGCAATTAATTCAGCAGGACTCATTTATAGAAGAAACTTCTTTATATACAATAATATAAAACATGATGCATGTATACAACACCCATGCAGCTCTTGCAATTTGATAGAGAAAAGTAGTAGTAGCAAGGACAAGACAAAGAATCAAGAACACTCAAGGAAAGACAAACAAACTCTTATATACACAGAACAATTAAGCTAAGCCACACCCAGGCTCCGAGCCATCTCACATGGCTCACCAATAATCCTGCGTCTCCAGAGGTGGGTTCCTACCAGTTCGCACCTATTCGGTAGAACCGGTTCGTCAAATCTACCAAACCGGTTAGAAGA